GAAAAGCAGAAGTAATGCCGAGGACAACAAAAAACAACATAACCTCTTTAGGTTCTTAGGTATCTCTCTATTGAAGATGGTGGATAATTGTTTTCCTGATGTTAATCCATACAAGTTTCTAAACTTGGAAAGATATAACTTCTAGGTTTCAGCAATAAACTTTCTGTTAAAGACAACTGTCATATTTCTATCTTTAGCCCCGCAGTGAAGTCAGAAAATTCAACTGATTTTAGTTACAATATTACATCGCTAATAATCTATAACTTTTATCTCCACAAAATTGCATAACGAAGAACATGCTCAAAAAGGCTGTAATCCTGAAATTTGTGGTTGCTAAAACTGATACATTGACCAGGTACAAGGTACAAGAACTTCAGGAAGTAAACGAATGTTTCACCTCAATACTATGCTTCCCAAACCACGTGCCAATAAGATGTTCGTCTTTATCTTCTCCGGGATAAGAATATTGAAAGATATAGCAATCACCACTGTAAAATTTAGACTGATCGAAACCTGAAAGAAGAGTCCTCTGCTGACCATTCACACGCCATACCTGCTAACCAAGAAATGCAATTATTGATCACATGAAAAGTTTTATGGCTCCAGAAAAATGACCACAAACAACCAAAACAAAAATGAAAACGTGTTCTCACATTTGCAATAGAAATCATTAGAGAAATGTATCAAGGTTCAAGGACTAGCAAATATGAGAGACATAAGATCTCAAAAGTCAAAAGCTTTTCTTTTATCCTTCTTAGTTATCCTTGATGCCGTTGATTTGTAGCTCCCAGCATTTCCTTACTTCACTATTTTTCTCAAATGCCACCTTGAGAGGTTATTTCCACCTCCATATACTAATCATCTTCTTTCCTTTTGTTTTCTAATTTTACTTGCACAAGTTCTTCCATATTATATCCACTCCACAATTAATCATCAAATTCAAAACTTTGGTTTTGTTAGCCAAGTGATCGGGCTATTCCTGGATGTGAGATAAAGAGAAACTTGGTGACTGGTTTTTAAACCCTAAGGAACTTATTAAAATGGTATTGATATTCATATTTTTATTAAAGATGTAAGAAAAGAATAGATTTCCTTCTAGTTTTGTTATTAAGCTTTTGGCCCATCTATTTCCAAAGAACTTATTTTCTTGAAGTGGATAATTTCTTAGAAATGTCTGTTTCTCAATGTTGAATATAAAAAATAGAAACAAGAAATAAACCACTAATTTTATAGGTAGAGAAATAAACACAGCTGTCAACAATCACCTTTAAATCCCCTGTACAATCTATATATAATTGAGTCTCTTCTTTAGGAGTTTCAGCTTTGAGAAGACCCTTCACATTTAAGCCTTGGCGCTTTAGAAGTGCTACAAGCATCAGATCAGACAGCATAATAAGAACTTAAATAGTAAAGGAAAATAGTCAGGACAACCATGACTACAGAAAGCAACCCAAGAAGAAGAAAGTATGTTCGAGGGACAACTACAAAAGCTTTAGCTTAATTACGAAAAAAACAATTCTTTTTACAAAAATAAATAATTAAATACAAAATGCCTCTTGAACATATTACAAAAACCTCAAGGTTCGTAGTTAGTTGGTTACCTTGAATGTGCAGCTTCCGTACGAGACAAATGCCAAGGGGATATTTTTTGTTTTGAAACATAACTTAGTTTCTATTTTTTTGTCAGTTGGGCCAAACTTCAAGGTAAGTTTTGTAATTAATCCTAGTTTTTATATGGCTACCAACTACGAAAATACTACCTTATAACTACTGACCTGCAACTTTCCCTCGACCCTCCTCAGACACGGTTACACTGACAGTTTGTGGCCAAGAATTAAACTTTGAACGAAACGTCACAGTCTCAAACCCCTCAATCACACGGCTTACATGCGATTTGGCTCTATCTTGACCACGCAGTAATTCCTACATGAATGTAACAAAAATTGTACTAAATATAAAATCAGACAAGAATTCAGTTGAACGTTCACCAAAATTACTAAGCTTACGTCAACAGCGCTGCTTGCAGCTTTTCTTTGATTAAGAGAAGTATTTCTGCCCATCCAAATGAATACTTCCACACCACAGTCGAGAATAAAGCATTTATGTGTGTCTAGTAAATCCCTCGTCAAAGAATCGGCCTCAATTGGTAATGCCTCCCCCTTCTCAACACTTGACACAAGAGAAAATTATCAGAACCCAAGGTTGCATTATATATAAATAATAATGTCACAAATTGATACAATACATATACTATCTACTCCAGGCTGTCATACAACATATATGCAGTTGAAGAAACTTTCTAAATGCACAAAACACATAACATGCATGATGTTTAAGGAATCCATATAAACTGAAAACGATCAATTTGCTTCAGTTCAAATATACTGAACAAAAAGGAACATCAATTTCAATACATGATCAACACACAGAATGAAAACATAATCCAAGTTATGACACATGATGCAAGTGAGAAAGCAAAGTACTAAGAGGAAATTATATACCAGAAGAGCTTAGAAGGACCAGCATCAGTTATCTTCAGTTCATTAGCGGCTGTTTTCCTCGGAAGCGGTGCAAAGCCACCAAAGAAACCCCAAAATTCTCCTGTCTCAGCATCAGCCATTAGCCTTCCATCTTCTGCATGTTGATAAATAAATAACTTGAAGCACTCGTCCATCAGTTCACAAACTTAGGCAAATTAAATCAACAGCATAGTTACCGATAGCTGCTATTTCACATTTTCCATCATGATATGTATCTTTAATGTACTGAACAACTTCTAGAGCTTTAGCTCTCTCTTGAATGGATGAATTAGAACCATTGAATTGGAAAATTTTAGATGTTGTATCGAGAATAAAGATGTCGTCATGATTGAGAGAGGATCGAGCAAAAGGCACCTGTCAGATCATAGTTATAAGCAAGGATAGTGATATAGATATGTGTACAAAATAAAGAAAAAATAAAAACTGACCTCTTTCACTTGAATAACATGCTTCCCTTTACATACAAACAAACGAGTATGATGCTCTTCGGCCTCGACATGCTTGAATCCCGAAGCAACTCCACCTTCTTGAGGTATTATACATGGCTTAAAATAGGAAAGGAACTTCTCTGTCTCATGACCTTGTAATTCACGGTATTGAACAGCACGCCCGCCCAGTGCTGCATCTAATTCAATAGTTTTGACAGCTGCAGTTCCAGCTTCATCCTGCATCGACAATAATAAAAAATTAAATATATACTGCAACAAAATATATAAATAAAGAAAGTTAATGTACACAACTTACCTGACTGGTATCTTTACCTAGCCAATAATGAATATCATGGCGTAGTGCACCACTTTTCAATGCAGTGGTCTGCAGCAAGAACAAAATTTCTTATGCTCCTATATTATAATTTATAGGACATTAACAAGAAGGAGTACGATTTACATCTAAGCAAACCGTAAATCATGGCATATTGGAAACACAAATAAAGTATCTTATTTCATAATTTGTTTGCGATAAGATTCAACAAAGTGCCCAAATGGATTATGCAGCCTAACTAGTGTCAAAGAGTAAAAGGCATCGACTTGGGAAAGAATTAAGATCCGCTTTTGTATTCTATGTGTGACAAACAAATAGCTAAGGCCTAAGAAGAGTAAAGGATGCCCTATGATGACAGGCTGCTCTAAACAATTTAAAATTCAATGTCGAGAGTATTTTGACATTTCAACTGATTGGATGAAGATCCATATTTGATAAACTTGGGAACACTGCATATAGTTCTGAGAGCCATTATACGAACAAAGCAAAAAATCAAGTTGAGCAATCAGAAATAGAACCACCAGAGGCAAATGGCATATAACAAAAGGTATCAAGAAAGTTTAGCAATCAGCCAGATCTATCTTATGATTCCAGACAGAATGCCATTTATCAAACTGTCTAGAATGAGTTTCGAAACAAAAGACTGGCGAAATTCTCTTCTAACTCCTTCAAGTATGAGATTTATAGTTAATCACATAAGATTAACTGACTTGTACCAAAGGAAAACATCCGAAACTAAACATATATGTTATTTATTATCTGGGCTAAGAAGAGCATATTATGCATTATCAAACATGGAGGTTAGAATGAAAAGTTCATAATGCATTTCAAAGCCGAAATTGGCTTCAGCAGTCCAAAACATAATAAACAGAAGAACAAAAATATATTTCTGGAGAAGAAAACTTCAAAATTACCTTTAGAATTACATAGGAATCTCCTGTGAAAAATTTTCCATGTGAGGATTTTGGGACTGTAACAGGCTGGAAATTTTCAATTCGCCATATCTCAAGACCGCTAGATTAATGTTAAGGAGACAAACATTTGTCAAGTCATCATACTAACATAATTTAAAGCAATAAATAGCAATTAAAAATGATATAGGGGCAAGCATGATCTATAATGGTAAAGCTTTTATTGTTCACAACAGGATACGCCTTTTGCCCAGCTCCCTGGAAAGCTGGATCCACATCTTTCATTGATACAGACATGGTGCTTCTCCACAAGTTCTATATTCAAAATTTTAAAGACCTGAAATCAAGACTGGAAAACAATGGACGGGGAGTGGGTAAATAATCTTTAAGGGGAACAAACTAGCATATAAAATGGTAAATGAATAAAAGCAGTATAATGCACATACAACTGTGAAGCTACTAAATAGCTGCCAGATTAAAGGAATAATAAATAAGTTAAAATGGGCAGGAAGAGTTGATCTTGCAGGTAAAGGGATATATTGCACTATAGTTGTCAACTTCCCTTCATGACAAGTTCATGACAAAAATAATTTCTTGTGTATCAATAATAAATTTCTAAAATCGTCCACCAAAAACAACCATAAAATGAAGCAAGGTTTACTTTCAAGGCATCTTAAACACGTATGGAAGTCTTTAATGGCACTCTGCCTGTAGAAAAAAACTAAATTGAACTGGCAGCTTTTTCACAGGTGAAGCTTTTTATGGACTGAAAACTGCAACAATGTAGTACCAAGATGATGCGATGCAGCAGTACTCTAGGTTTAAGCCGAGCTCATAGAAAGAACCAAAAAATGGACCAGAAAAACTATAATCATTAATAGATCCTATTCCATCGAGCCTCAAATGAAGAATGATGAGTCTTTGAGGTTTCATCTCGCTCGTTTTGCTCGATTTCTTATACGTTCTCAAACTGCCTTCAGGCCCGTATTGTGTCAACTCAACCAACCCCAAGAAATGTTACTTCAATTCAGTTATCATTGGCTTTCTTTTGGCAAAAGGTTTAAATTCTTATCGAGTTATTTCCAAATTGCACCCTTCATTGAGAAAGTAAACGAATCAAATTTCGGAACTCCTATAGAAAGGACAATGCAAGCAGATAATCAGCTGACATCAAAAAATTTCCCTCCATCACTTTTTCTTCAAGGGCACCAATGCAGATGGAATCACCTGGTATCCTAGTTATAAGGTATTTGAATTAACTAAAACCTGTGCCTATGTAGGATTTTCTTTCTCAATAATCGTACAATAAAAAATGCACTAATTCACATTGTATGGTTCATTCGTCTCCTATTCCTGACCAATTTCATGATGGAAATAATCTTGAAATTCGAAAATCACATGGATTTAAGTAATTAAAAACTTTTTTTTCAATTCAACAGCACATTTTACCAGACAAGAAAATTCCATTCAAACATTCAGACATAACAGAGCTAAAACAATTTACAGATTCCAAAGCATCGTTTCAAATTATTAAAAACACACACACACACACACACACACACACACACACACACACAAGAAACCCAACGAACTGGCTGCTCAGGATCATCAAGAGGTGATTTCTTATCAATGAAAATGCACGAGCTCAGACAAAAAACCTAAAATCAACAAATAACAACGTTGAAAAAAACCAGGAAGGGGGAACCAAAATGGTATAGCAGACAAGATCAATTAGGCTAATCAAATTTACCTTGATCAATCTTCCACAAGCCCAGTTGAAGACCAGACCAAACAGATCCAATCCAATCACTCAACCAAGCTCGATCAGCGCAAGAAAAGAAAAATGATGGGTTTTCAAGAAAGAGATGAAAACCCAAAAAGAAAACCAGACAGCGTTTTTTTCTAACAAGAGAGAGAAACAGAGAATGATGATGGCGATGAGCTGACTGACAGGCGTGCGTGCCTATCACTACCACCACCAGCACCTTAAAAAACAAAACAAAGAAAGAAAGAAACCCTCTTTCTCAAACAGTAATCCGAAATGAACTGTAAAGATCAATTAAACCCATTTTTAAAATAACAACACAAACCTTTATATAAAATTATTACAAAAATCAAATTAACCACTTCTGTTTAAAAAATGAAAAGAAAAAAGGAAAAAGAGAGAGGAGAGAAAAAAAAAAATGTGCCACCTTTTCTTGTCTTGGATTACAAAATTGCGGGGAGACGTAGAGACGAGAAGGGAATATAGCAAAAAACAAAAGAAAATCGGATAAAGACGAGACGATGGACGACGGCCAATGGGCTGAGTTCCGAATGCAAAGGGGATGAGAGAGAAAGGATGTGGGATTTTAGAGAGAGAAAGAGCGGAAGGGTCGGTGACCGGCCATAATTCATAACTTGACTTGATGATGGATGGCCAGAAAAAAAGGGCTCCGTCATTCGGTGGCAAAAAGCCAAAAGATGCTCTTCTTGCTCAGCTGTGATGTGGGACCCAATTTGGGAGGAGGGAGGGAGCAATGTGGGGACCACATGGCTAATATGATTGAAATAAAAATTTTGGCATAATATTGCTGTTATTGAATTGTTATTGCCGCATTTTCCTAAAAGAGATGCTGTTTACAATATTTTTTTTATTTGATGATTTTATTTTAATTTAGTTATTGGATCTACTTTAAATTTTAAGGTTTTGTAAATCTACTTTCTAATGCTGGAGATAAGCAATTTTTTCTCTTTAGCGGAGAGTATTACTTATCTAATCTTCTTTTCTTTCGATAGAACCTTCTTCTTCTTTTTAAGGGCTTTCGGGAAGCTAGGGTTCATGGAGGAAGAGCAGGAGGTAAACCCTACTGCGGAGGTGAAAAATCGATTAAGGCTTTCTCTTTGTCGGTAGTGTAGAACAACATAATTGATATAGAAGATAGCGATGTTCAGGCTAGCGTTGAGTAGGGGTGTTCACGGTCCGGTTTTAACCGTAAAAAACCGTCAATCCGGACCGCAGATCGGTTAAATGGTCAGTTAAAAAAGCCTTAAAAAATCCGGTGGTTAATTTTTTAAAAAATCCGGAATAACTGGTTCAGTTAACGGATTACTTGCGGCAAACCGCCGGTTTAACCGGACCGGTAAATATTAAAAAACTATGACTTATATATATATATATACTCATATTCAATCATTCATTATGACCGACAAATACAATACATTCACTTATTTTTTGACATTTGTTGACTTAATTTTGTAAGACACTATAACTTTTCACTTTTTTCTCACCTTGCTTGGGTTCAATTTGCATAATTTAATCTTCATCATTATTGTATTTTTATGTTTATGGGACGAAACATGTATTTTTATGCTTATGGGATGAATTGTGTAATTTTTATTTCATTATTGTTGTGTTTCTTTATTTTTAGGCCCAAATAATCTCGTTTGAGCCCAAAATTGCAAAATAAAAATTAAGCCCAAAATAAAAAAAAAATAAAAATTGAAGGTCCAAAACAAGAATTTTGGATCTAACCGGTTAACAGCCAAACCGGACCGTCCAATGCGGCCCAGATTGTGGCCAGTTAAAAAATAAAGCCGGTCCGGTTATGGACAAGAAAAAAATTAACCGTTAAGTCCGGTTTGATCATGGTTTGGGCTAAAACCGGACCAATCCGCACCGTGAACACCCCTAGCGTTGAGGAATGCCATAAAAGCTTATTTGGCAAGGTAATTGGGGAAAAAGAGCTAATTTTCAAGGGATCAAGAGGGCCATGGGAATTATATGGAAATTGAAATCGACTATGGAGGTTCGAGAGTTAGGAAGGAACTTCTTTCAATTCATTTTTGACAGCACCGAAGACAGGAGGAGGATAGCTGGGGTACTAATTAGATTTTTGATAATCAGTATATCATCTTGAGTGGATGGAAGACAGGGTTGCACAGCGCAGATAGATGCTATACGGAGCTCAAGTTTTTGGTACAAGTTCACAACGTACCCTTGACCTGGCTTACATCTAACGTGGGGCTGAAAATTGGGCAAGTGTTCAAATCTTGCTCAAATGTATTAGTCAGTAATCTGGGTAGCAAGGAGGAAGGTTAATCAAATTGTTGGTGGCTGTCAATGTGAATGAAGCATTACCTAGATGTGCACATATCCGATTGGGTGACCAGGTCATTACAGTTACCTTCAAGTATGAGCGATTAGTACATTTGTGCTTTTACTTGTGGTAAGGTGGGCCACATTGAGAGAAATTGCTGCAAGAGGGTGACTGATATAGAACACCACTGTCTTAAAGAAGGGCAGTTTAGGGATTGGATGCGAGCTACAGAGGGATATCAGAATCAGGGTGGGAGTAATGGAAATTCTTCATCATGCCATCCAACTGAGCTGGAAAATGAGACTAGTACAGGAGCATCCAAGGAGAATCCAACAGCAGGGGGGTCACATGGGTCTCATGGAGTAATGAATAGTTCTACTTAGGAGAAGAATTCTGGCACAAGGGCAGTTACATGGTCATCTAAATTTGAAAAGGAACATGGGTGGAAGTTAAGGGTAAGGAGATTATGGTCGTTTCAGAGGATCAACAAAGCCAACCAATGGAAGTTATGGCACATGGAGATATTATCCCAGTGGAAGAAACACATGAACAAAGAATTCAAAGTATAAGTCATGTAGCATCTGAAGGCTTGCAATATCTGAAATTCCAGTAGGACCAGTACAGAAGACTTGGAAGAGGACAACAAAGAAGGAGGGGAGGTTAACAAGGGCTGAAGACTCATATATAACTGTCATGCATACAAAAAGGCACAAAGAAGTGGAGAACCAGAGGAACATGATGACAATCTTAGACTTCACTCAGGGTGAGAAGAAACTCAAATTTAAAAAGACACAGGTGAAGATGGCCAACCTTAAAGAGCCCTCACAGTCTAAATGAGGGCTCTGGTGTGGAACTGTAGAGGTTTGGGTTGACCCTCTATAGTTCATCAGCTCAAGGAAGGCTTAAGGCTCCATCACCCAACATTTACTTTTCTATCTGAAGTCAAGAAATATGGTAATTTTTCAGCTCAACTATGCCGGAGGTTGGGTTTTGTAAATAGATTTTTTGTGATTGAACCTAGAGGCACTAGTGGTGTTTGTTATTATGTTGGGATTTTGAGGTAGAGATTGAGCAGATGTATGGCAGAATCTTTCTTTATAGCAGTGAAGTTCAAAGAAAAGAAACAAGCTGAATGGTGTTCGGTGGTGTTTGTATACCTCAGTTATTGTAAGGCAGAAAGGGAAAAGCAGTGGGTTTATGTTAATCAAGAAAGAGCAA